AATAAATGACCCATTAACTTCAATGAACAATGGAGAAGAATTGGGTTTTCTGCCCATGATATTATTTAAGCCACTCCAAAGTATTTTTTCATTGTGTTTTACGTCTTTTATCTTTGTTTGGTTTTTATATGTTTTTCTCATTTATGTTCTAAGAGAGGAGAGGTATTCTGTTGGCTCCTCAGTTCTAGGAGAGTTGTAGGTCTAGGAGAGGAGAGGTATTCTGTTGGCTCCTCAGGTCGCAGGTCGATGGGGTTTGTAGCATGAGAAGACAAGGTTAGGGTTGCTAAATTCCAGAAACTCTTCCCTGGTTTTTAGAAAAGGTAAAGTTTCCGGAATTATGCAACCCTACACAAAGTCTCCCTGTCACTATAACTAGCAGGGATGATGTTCTAATGATGCTATTACACAGACACACACACACACACACACACACACACAGACACACACAGACACACACGCAGACACACACACAGACACACACACAGACACACACAAACCAGTGGAGGCTCAGTCATAGGATGCCACCAACAAGTCATTTCGTAAAATTTCTGCCCTGCTAGAGTTGCCCCGGTCAACTGTAAGTGCTGTTATTGTGAAGTGGAAACGTCTAGGAGCAACAACGGCTCAGCCGCGAAGTGGTAGGCCACACAAGCTCAGGGAACGGGACCGCCGAGTGCTGAAGCGCGTAGAGCGTAAAAATAGTCTGTCCTCGTTTGCAACACTCACTACCGAGTTCCAAACTGCCTCTGGAAGCAACCTCAGCACAAGAACTGTTCGTCGGGAGCTTCGTGAAATTGGTTTCCATGGCCGAGCAGCCGCACACAAGCCTAAGATCACCATGCGCAATGCCAGTCAGACGGACGAATCTGGGTTTGGCGGATGCCAGGAGAACGTTACCTGCCCGATTTCATAGTGCCAACTGTCAAGTTTGGTGGAGGAAGAATAATGGTCTGGGGCTGTTTTTCATGGTTCGGGCTAGGCCCCTTAGTTCCAGTGAAGGGAAATCTTAACACTACAGCATACAATGACATTCTAGACGATTCTGTGCTTCCAACTTTGTGGTAACAGTTTGGGGCAGGCCCTTTCCTGTTTCAGCATGACAATGCCCCCGTGCACAAAGCGAGGTCCATTCAGAAATAGTTTGTCGAAATCGGTGTGGAAGAACTTGACTGGCCTGCACAGAGCCCTGACCTCAACCCCATCGAACACCTTTGGGATGAAAAGGTGTCCACATACTTTTGGTCATGTAGTGCATGTACAGTCTGGGTCAAAAGTTTTGAGAATGACACAAATACTAATTTTCACTAAGTCTGCTGCCTCAGTTTTGATGATGGCAATTTGCATATACTCCACAATGTCATGAAGAGTGATCAGATGAATTGCAATTAATTGCAAAGTCCCTCTTTGCCATGAAAATGAACTTAATCCCTGCCACAAAAGGACCAGCTGACATCATGTCAGTGATTCTCTCGTTAACACAGGTGAGAGTGTTGACGAGGACAAGGCTGGAGATCACTCTGTCATGCTGATAGAGTTAGAATAACAGACTGGAAGCTTTAATAGGAGGGTGGTGCTTGAAATCATTGTTCTTCCTCTGTTAACCATGGTTACCTGCAAGGAAACGCATGCCGTCATAAATGCTTCACAGGCAAGGATATTGCTGCTAGTAAGATTGCACCTAAATCAACCATTTATCGGATCATTAAGAACTTCAAGGAGAGAGGTTCAATTGTTGTGAAGAAGGCGCCAGGGCGCCCAAGAAAGTCCAGCAAGAGCCAGGATCGTCTCCTAAAGTTGATTCAGCTGGGGCACCACCAGTGCAGAGCTTGCTCAGGAATGGCAGCAGGTAGGTGTGAGTGCATCTGCACGCACAGTGAGGTGAAGACTTTTGGAGGATGGCCTGGTGTCAAGAAGGGCAGCAAAGAAGCCACTTCTCTCCAGGAAAAACATCAGGGACAGACTGATATTCTGCAAAAGGTACAGGGATTAGACTGCTGAGGACTGGGCTAAAGTCATTTTCTCTGATGAATCCCCTTTCCGATTGTTTGGGGATATCCGGAAAACACCTTGTCCGGAGAAGACAAGGTGAGCGCTACCATCAGTCCTGTGTCATGCCAACAGTAAAGCATCCTGAGACCATTCATGTGTGGGGTTGCTTCTCAGCCAAGGGAGTGGGCTCACTCACAATTTCGCCTAAAAACACAGCCATGAGTAAAGAATGGTACCAACACATCCTCCGAGAGCAACTTCTCCCAAGCATCCAAGAACAGTTTGGTGACGACCAATGCCTTTTCCAGCATGATGGAGCACCTTGCCATAAGGCAACATTGATAACTAAGTGGCTCGGGGAACAAAACATCTACATTTTGGGTCCATGGCCAGGAAACTCCCCAGACCTTAATCCCATTGAGAACTTGTGGTCGATCCTCAAGAGGCGGGTGGACAAACAAAAACCCACACATTTTGCAAGAATGGGCTGCCATCAGTCAGGATGTGGCCCAAAAGTTAATTGACAGCATGCCAGAGCGGATTGCAGAGGTCTTGAAAAAGAAGGGTCAACACTGCAAATATTGACTCTTTGCATAAACTTAATGTAATTGTCAATAAAAGCCTTTGACACTTATGGAATGCTTGTAATTATACTTCAGTATACCATAGTAACATCTGACAAAAATATCTCATAACACTGAAGCAGCGAACTTCGTGAAGACCAATACTTGTGTCATTCTCAAAACGTTTGTTGACTAGTATAACGTTAATATGGTGACAACAATGTAGTCTGTGTAGTGGTAAGCGGTTAAGACATGAAGGTTTGGCTTGGAGAGTTTTTGGCGCCTGGTCACAGACAGCTGTTGTGTTGTGCACAAGGTGAGAGGAGGATGTTAGATGTGAGAAGGAATTATAAAATGAGCAAAGTGATGATGCTGTTTGTATGTGGCTGCTATGAAAGTGAACTGTGTGTGCGGGTGATCAGGGGTGTATTCATTCCACCGACTCTGTTGAAAACGTTTCTTAAATGGAAGCGAGTTCAACGAAACGGGGAGGGACCTAGTTGAATTTGTCCAATCGAGACTCTTGTTGAAAGTTTATAATGTAACAGGTCGAGAGAGAAATGATAGTAATGAAGACAGTGACATGTCTAGCTGATCTAGGGTGTAGTCATTAGTCCAACAGTTAACGAGGACTAATGACTACACGCGTTTGGATTAACGTGGACTAATGACTACACCCGTTTGGATTAACGTGGACTAATGACTACACGCGTTTGGATTATGTACAAGGCGGTATTGAACGTGTCACTGTCTCTCACCTTGATTACTCACATTTTTCTCTCGACCTGTGTGCACCTTCGTTGTGAACTTTAATTCGTAGGTTAGGTTGTAGCAACCTCATGATGGGTACAGGGAACATTATAGTATCGTGTAGTAGCCTAAACCTATGGATGTTACATTGAACTGGGTGAATGGAATATGAATGACAGTCATCCAATATGCTGTAATAGAAATAGGACCATGTTCATAAACTAACCACCACCACACACACACACACACACACACACACACACACACATCGCTTGGCTTAGCATAGACAGCCATGTATTTCATACTTAAATATACACCTAAGAATTCTCAATACAAATCTGCACGCTTTCGAGGATGTGGAGAAAGTGAAAGTTACAGTAACAAGATTTCTAGGACATTCGGACTGTCTTGAACAAGACAACCCATTAGGACAGTCCTCAACAAGACAACCCATTAGGACAGTCCTCAACAAGACAACCCATTAGGACTGTCCTCAACAAGACAACCCATTAGGACTGTCCTCAACAAGACAACCCATTAGGACTGTCCTCAACAAGACAACCCATTAGGACAGTCCTCAACAAGACAACCCATTAGGACAGTCCTCAACAAGACAACCCATTAGGACTGTCCTCAACAAGACAACCCATTAGGACAGTCCTCAACAAGACAACCCATTAGGACAGTCCTCAACAAGACAACACATTAGGACAGTCCTCAACAAGACAACACATTAGGACAGTCCTCAACAAGACAACCCATTAGGACAGTCCTCAACAAGACAACCCATTAGGACAGTCCTCAACAAGACAACCCATTAGGACTGTCCTCAACAAGACAACCCATTAGGACTGTCCTCAACAAGACAACCCATTAGGACAGTCCTCAACAAGACAACACATTAGGACAGTCCTCAACAAGACAACACATTAGGACAGTCCTCAACAAGACAACCCATTAGGACAGTCCTCAACAAGACAACCCATTAGGACAGTCCTCAACAAGACAACCCATTAGGACTGTCCTCAACAAGACAACCCATTAGGACTGTCCTCAACAAGACAACCCATTAGGACTGTCCTCAACAAGACAACCCATTAGGACAGTCCTCAACAAGACAACCCATTAGGACAGTCCTCAACAAGACAACCCATTAGGACTGTCCTCAACAAGACAACCCATTAGGACAGTCCTCAACAAGACAACCCATTAGGACAGTCCTCAACAAGACAACACATTAGGACAGTCCTCAACAAGACAACACATTAGGACAGTCCTCAACAAGACAACCCATTAGGACAGTCCTCAACAAGACAACCCATTAGGACAGTCCTCAACAAGACAACACATTAGGACAGTCCTCAACAAGACATTAGAACTGTCCTCAACAACATCAATCAGTTTAGTTGATCAAGACCCTTGGCTAACTGTTGTGGCCTGCCAGTCACTAACACTGTTCACCAGACATAGCCTTCACTGAGGGTTCAGCTACAGTTTCTTTTAGTAGACACTCTAATCCAGAGCAACACACAGTTAGTGAGCGCATACGTTTTCATACTGGTCCCCCGTGGGAATCGAACCCACAACCCTGGCGTTGCAAGCACCATGCTCTACCAACTGAGCCACAGGGGACGGGGTGGACTTACGTACATTGTCACAGTCATCACAGTCCGGTATGCCAGCCTTCTGGATGGACCTCTTGACCTCTAGGGAGAAGTTCTCAAACTCTGGTTTGACCGTCCGGAGCAGCGTGACCATGTTGAGGGCAGAGTACGCCTGCCGCGCCTCACTGTCGTACTTATCCCCTCGCTTCCACGAGCCATTGCCTGGGAAACCATACGAGGAGAGAGAGAGAAAAAAAAGTGGTGAAATTGTTGACACGTTGAAATGTTTCTGTCTGTCACCATGCAGTGCAGCCCTGGACCTGGAGATTTATATGGTGTGCAGGCCTTTGATCCAGCCTAGTATTAAAACCTCATGGGTCATCTCTTGATGACTTATTGATTAGTTGAATCAGCTGTTTTAGTGCTGGGTTGGAGTAACATAGCAGTTCTGCTTTAATGTTTGGGAGTGTGTCGTCTGATCAGAAACAGAGAGACAACAGGGAGTATATTAGCAGAAGTCATCATCATGTATCTATACAGTATATATGTGTAAGGCTGATTAGAAAAAAAGTATATGTTTTATTCTCACGTACACCAGATAGGTCTAGGGAAATGTGTTGTTTTACAGGGTCAGCCATGGTAGCACAGCACCCCTGGAGGAAATCAGGGTTAAGTGCCTTGCATAATGGCACGTCGACATATTTTTCACCTTGTCGGCTCAGGTATTTGAAGCAGCAACCTTTTGGTTACTGGCCCAACGCTCGAACCGCTAGGCTACCTGCCACCTCGCCATCACTGTATATACGTAGGGTAGTGTTACCATGCCATCACTGTATATATGTAGGGTAGTGTTACCATGCCATCACTGTATATATGTAGGGTAGTGTTACCATGCCATCACTGTATATATGTAGGGCAATGTTACCATGCCATCACTGTATATATGTAGGGCAGTGTTACCATGCCATCACTGTATATATGTAGGGTAGTGTTACCATGCCATCACTGTATATATGTAGGGTAGTGTTACCATGCCATCACTGTATATATGTAGGGTAGTGTTACCATGCCAATCACTGGTATCTACGTCGATGGTAGTGTTAACACATGCCAATCCCTGTATAATGTAGGGTCGTTGTTTACCATGCCATCACTGTTATATATGTAGGGTTAGTTTTACCAATGCCATCACTGTATAGTATGTTAGGGGCCAGTGTTACCATGCCATCACTGTATATATGTAGGGCAGTGTTACCCATGCCATCACTTATATATGTTAGGGTAAGTCGTTACCATGCCATCACTGTATATATTGTAGGGTAGTGTTACCATGCCCATCACTGTTATAATGTAGGGGTAAGTGTTACAATGCCACATCCCTGTATATATGTAGGGCAGGGTTGACCATGGCCATCACTGTATATATGTAGGGATAGTGTTACCCATGCCATCACTGATATAGTGGGGTAGGGTTACCATGCTCAGTAATGTAGGGTAGTGTTTACCCTGCCCATCACTGTATATATGTAGGGTAGTTGTTACCATCCCCATCACTGTATATATGTAGGTAGGCAGTGTTACCATGCCATCACTGTATATATGTAGGGTAGTGTTACCATGCCATCACTGTATATATGTAGGGTAGTGTTACCATGCCATCACTGTATATATGTAGGGTAGTGTTACCATGCCATCACTGTATATATGTAGGGTAGTGTTACCATGCCATCACTGTATATATGTAGGGTAGTGTTACCATGCCATCACTGTATATATGTAGGGCAGTGTTACCATGCCATCACTGTATATATGTAGGGTAGTGTTACCATGCCATCACTGTATATATGTAGGGTAGTGTTACCATGCCATCCCTGTATATATGTAGGGCAGTGTTACCATGCCATCACTGTATATATGTAGGGTAGTGTTACCATGCCATCACTGTATATATGTAGGGTAGTGTTACCATGCCATCACTGTATATATGTAGGGTAGTGTTACCATGCCATCCCTGTATATATCACTGGGACCGTTGTGCTGATGAGAAATGCTCACTGACAGCGATGTAAACAAATTAGGTTTTTGTGCGTATGGAACATTTCTGGGATCTTTTATTTCAGCTCATGAAACACGGGACCAACACTTTACATGTTGTTTATATATATATATATGTTTTTGTATATGTAGGGCTGGGAACGTTGTGTTGATGAGTAGTGTTACCATAAGACGTGGAGTTGAAGAGTTCGATGTTGAAGAAGATGTAGCTCCCGTTAGTGAGCCTCCGTCGATGAGCAGCTAGCATGATCTCTCGGACAACGTCTGCTCCCGCACACATGATAACAACTGCAAGAGATCGACGTGAAAAGAACCAGTGTTACACCTCAACCCCGTTTCAACAAGACTAGGAACTTTAATACAACAACTGACAAATGACTTTTCTTAAAGCCGGAGTGGAAAGGATGCATCCCACTGGGCACATCACGTCATTTCAACGTGGAAATGTGGGTAATATTTGGTTGAGACATTGATCAATGAGATTTCAACTTTAATTCACCCACTCAAAAAGACAGCCAGAATGTTGTTGAATTCCCAGTGTGTTACATTTACATTTACATTTACGTCATTTAGCAGACGCTCTTATCCAGAGCGACTTACAAATTGGTGCATTCACCTTATAGCCAGTGGGATAACCACTTTACAAATGTTTTTTTTTTTTTTTTTTCTGTGATTTTTAAAATTTATTATTTATTGTTTCTAGTTTTTAGTCTTATTTTTATTTTATTTTTTATTATTTTTAAATTTCTTTTTTTTTTGGGGGGGTAGAAGGATTACTTTATCCTATCCCAGGTATTCCTTAAAGAGGTGGGGTTCACTATGCTTTTCAACCATCTAAAAGCACAATCAAATTCCAATGGAAAAACAATGTCTGATTTTTGGTTTAGTTGTCATTTAAATGTATCTCTGCACTTTCAACCATTAAAAGCACAGCAAAGTTCAAATGGGAATACAATGTCAGATATGTTGTTAATCTATACAACAGATGAATGTGTTATCACTGGTCTTCATCTAATAGCACAACCAAATGACCTGGATTGCAGTTGAGATTACATTAAAAGTACATAGTGCAAGTAAGTGATCGATGCTCATTATTGCAATTGTGAAGATTTCCACAGACCTGCGACCTTTGCATGCTATGTTGAACATGCACACGTTCTATGATAACATAGGAAGAAACGTACAGTTACAGTAACCTCAAAATGTGTCCATGAAGAAATACTGTTACATTAGTTTGTAAAATAGCATTAACTTTTGGCTATTTACTGGATTACAAAAGTAATATTGAATTGTTTGGTTGACAACGGAACCACATGTCAACATTTAAAATAGATGTATCTAATGCTTGGATAGTTTCATTTTGATCTACTGGCTTAATCCTATTCTTTAACTTGTATTTTTGGTTTAGTTGGAGACGTGAATCCAACATAGAATTCCTTAACATGTCGACAAGTTAATAGGCTACTTACTGCATTGCAAAAGTGAAATTGAATTGTGTTTGGTTGTCAACGCAACCAAATATTAACATTTGAAGGAGATGTATATTTTATTCACTGACTTAGTCTGGCTTTAATTCCAGTTTGTCTACAAATTAATAATTGATAAGCTGGATTCATGTCTCCATCTCAACCAAAAATCTATGTTAAAGAATAGCACTAAATCAAATCAATTTAAAGTTTGATTTGATTTAGTGCTATTCTTTAATTTAGATTTTTGGAGACATGAATCCAACATATTGATGATTACATTTGAAATCAACCAAAGCTTGAAAACCTAGGCCTATATAAATGTTTTGTCATTTAGCAGACGCTCTTATCCAGAGCAACTAGTGTTAAGTGCCTTGCTCAAGGGCACATTGACAGATGTTTCACCTAGTCGGCTTAGGGATTAGAACCAGCTACCTTTCGGTTACTGGCCCAATGCTCTTAACCAATAAGCTACCTGCCGCCCATTGTCTATTTAAGCAATAAGGCCCGAGGAGGTATGGTATACCTCACCTGATTGTACAGCCATTAGCCGTGGTATATTGGCCATATACCACAAACCCCCCAAGTTGCCTTATTGCTATTATAAACAGGTTACCGATGTAATTAGAGCAGTAAAAAGTATTATTTTTGTCATACCCGTGGTATACGGTCTGATATACCACGGCTTTCAGCCAATCAGCATTCAGGGCTCAACCCACCCAGTTTATAACCCTGGGTTGAATTTAAATAATGGCTGTTGATGATTTTACAAATGCTACTGTGTAAAAAAAGACCTAAATAGTATCGTTGATGATATATGACTTATAAAGTATGGTTAAATAGACCTACCCCTTTGGAATGGCTTCAACAGCCACAGTGAATCTATTTCGTTTAGTATTTATTAGGATCTCCAATTATTAAGATCTTTCAATAATCATTGTCATGATAGTACATAGGTCGGTAGTAGTCAGTGACAAATATCAAAGCTAAGCAAAAAAGAAAATTGTGATAAATAAAAAAGTATACCAGTTTCATTTAAGGACCAAAGGATTGACAGCCGTCCCATATAGATCAATAATATAATAATACTTTTAGCAAAAATGTTTATTTTCAATTTACAATCTGTAGAAACAATGAGAATCGAAAGGTTCAGAACTTTTGTGAAACATCACAACAGAGTTGAGAAATATATGGCAAATAGAAATCCAATATGGATGGTGTTAAGAGATAGATGGGAGGGGTTGCATAGAGCTGAAGGTTGGGACCAATAACAACAACTAATAACAACAAGATAACTAATGTAAAACATACTGTGTCCATAATAAGTATATATGTTGAAAACTTTTGTGAAAAAGAGCACAGTTTGGGGGATATGGCATGTAGAGGCAAACCGGATGGACATCATGAAAATGATCAGAGTGGTTGAGAGTAGAGGAAGTTCAGGAGTAAAATCAAACGAAATATAATTATTGTAAAATTGACTGTGTCCATAAAATGTATATAGTATGTATATGCTGGAAGTAGAGGCCTAAGCATTGTTGTTCACTAGTTTACTCCAATTAGGGAAGGGGTGGTGGGGTTGGAAAGTAATAAAGGAAAATATATATTTTTAAAGGATATGTATATATATATATATATATATATATATATATATATATATATATATATATATATGTATTTATATGTATGTATGTGTATGTATGTATATACATTGAGGGAAAAATGTATTTGATCCCCTGCTGATTTTGTACGTTTGCCCACTGACAAAGACATGATCAGTCTATAATTTTAATGGTAGGTTTATTTGAACAGTGAGAGACAGAATAACAACAAAAAAATCCAGAAAAACGCATGTCAAAAATGTTATAAATTGATTTGCATTTTAATGAGGGAAATAAGTATTTCACCCCCTCTCAATCAGAAAGATTTTTGGCTCCCAGGTGTCTTTTATACAGGTAACGAGCTGAGATTAGGAGCACACTCTTAAAGGAGCAGATTAGGAGCACACTCTTAAAGGGAGTGCTCCTAATCTCAGTTTGTTACCTGTATAAAAGACACCTGTCCAAAGAAGCAATCAATCAATCAGATTCCAAACTCTCCACCATGGCCAAGACCAAAGAGCTCTCCAAGGATGTCAGGGACAAGATTGTAGACCTACACAAGGCTGGAATGGGCTACAAGACCATCGCCAAGCAGTTTGGTGAGAAGGTGACAACAGTTGGTGCGATTATTCGCAAATGGAAGAAACAAAAAAGAACTGTCAATCTCCCTCGGCCTGGGGCTCCATGCAAGATCTCACCTCGTGGAGTTGCAATGATCATGAGAACGGTGAGGAATCAGCCCAGAACTACACGGGAGGATCTTGTCAATGACCTCAAGGCAGCTGGGACCATAGTCACCAAGGAAACAATTGGTAACACACTACACCGTGAAGGACTGAAATCCTGCAGCGCCCGCAAGTTCCCCCTGCTCAAGAAAGCACATATACAGGCCCGTCTGAAGTTTGCCAATGAACATCTGAATGATTCAGAGGAGAACTGGGTGAAAGTGTTGTGGTCAGATGAGACCAAAATGGAGCTCTTTGGCATCAACTCAACTCGCCGTGTTTGGAGGAGGAGGAATGCTGCCTAGGACCCCAAGAACACCATCCCCACCGTCAAACATGGAGGTGGAAACATTATGCTTTCGGGGTGTTTTTCTGCTAAGGGGACAGGACAACTTCACCGCATCAAAGGGACGATGGACGGGGCCATGTACCGTCAAATCTTGGGTGAGAACCTCCTTCCCTCAGCCAGGGCATTGGAAATTGGTTGTGGATGGGTATTCCAGCATGACAATGACCCAAAACACACGGCCAAGGCAACAAAGGAGTGGCTCAAGAAGAAGCACATTAAGGTCCTGGAGTGGCCTAGCCAGTCTCCAGACCTTAATCCCATAGAAAATCTGTGGAGGGAGCTGAAGGTTCGAGTTGCCAAACGTCAGCCTTGAAACCTTAATGACTTGGAGAAGATCTGCAAAGAGGAGTGGGACAAAATCCCTCCTGAGAAACGTCTGACCTCTGTGATTGCCAACAAGGGTTTTGCCACCAAGTACTAAGTCATGTTTTGCAGAGGGGTCAACTACTTATTTCCCTCATTAAAATGCAAATCAATTCATAACATTTTTGACATGCGTTTTTCTGGATTTTTGTTGTTGTTATTCTGTCTCTCACTGTTCAAATAAACCTACCATTAAAATGATAGACTGATTATGTCTTTGTCAGTGGGCAGACGTACAAAATCAGCAGGGGATCAAATACTTTTTTCCCCTCACTGTACATATGGGGGATAGGAAGTGATGCAGACTATAACATTGATGGAAGTTACAATCTATCTGCAATATTAAAGCTGATCTACCCCCTATAAAATAAATAAAATAAAACAAAGCAGGGCTGGGATTGGTTAAAACCTTGGATGGGAGACCAAAGAATAGTTGTAGATAGATTGACTCTCCAGTAGGAGGTGCTGCTCAGCTTAGTTTCTTTTTTTCTGATAGTGGATATAATGTTGTTTCACAGGTACAAATTCAACATATTTTAAGGTTTGACTATGTTGAAAATTGGTTACCATGATGACATAATCCTGTGGTTGAAATGTAACCGTCAAAACAACAGTTGATTACATTTTTTAAAATCAAATGTATTTTCCACGTAGATTTCACGTCACCATACGTTGACAAATGATGTTGAAACAACATTGGGTTCAATTCTCGGGCCGACTCTATTCTCTGTGTATATCAATGATGTCACTCTTGCTGCCGGTGACTCTCAGATTTA